TCTTTACCGGGAGACCTAATCTCTTTGAGACTCACGTTCCTCATATACAAAGAGGGACACTGTCCACCTCAGAGTTTGTGAGCATTAAGTGATAAAACAGCTAAAGAACTTAGAATAGTGACTGGCCTATTCTGCATGCTTCACTTTGACTTCCGTATTTTTAGTCTCTTTTTAAACAATTATTTTAGAGATTACTCTTGAATTTTAATGAACCATACTAGATATTTAAGGTTAAAATGTTGTTTAACCCACCCATTGAATTTCATATGCCGAATGTTATGTATTTTATTTCCGTAAGTTCTGTTTAGTTCTTTAAAAAATTGATCTGTTTTCTTTTTCACGATGTCCTGAGTTTTTTCATTATGTTTTCTCTAATTTATTTTTTTAATGATTCAGTCATACTTATTTTATGCTCTCTCTTAGATTGTTTCATAATTTTAGGCTCTGGAATATTAATCATCCTGGGTTTTAGGGTTAACCATTTCTTCCCCGAGGCCAATCATTTCTTTCTGCTTTTAGTTGTCTATGTGTGAGCTTCTCTTCAGCAAGTACAATTTTTTTCATATGACTGTCCCTTATATCCTGGATTTAAAGTCTCCCTGGAGAATGGTTTTCTGTTGCATATCCTAAGGCCCCAAGTGATCTGATCAACCTGGAATTGTTGCATTTTTTTTGTTTGGGAATTCCTGAATCATAAGTGGAGCATCAACTTGGATTCCGCATTCATATGAAGCAGGGGCTTGGAGTTTAGATTTTTTAGGAGAGACTTTGTTCTTCCCTGAAGAACCAGCTTCTTCACCCCTTCCCTGTGCGTGTGTGTGGAGACCTTCGAGTCTCCCTTTCAGTCAAGAGGCAAGTCTTCCAACAGACTTTATGTGTGGGGTTTCTGTAGGGGAAGACTCTGCTACACCTGGTATGAAGCCTTTCTTTCTAAATGGACCTCACAGCCCTATTCATGTGCAGATTAAAGCCCCTCCCCTCCAGGGTGCTGTGGCATCAGCTCACAGGATTGCCATTCTGGTTCTAAGTTTCTTTATATGGTAGCCTGGGAACATCTCTCTCCATAGCTAGTTCTATGCTATTTTTGTTGTTGTATTTTATCCAGCATTACTGAAAGTTTTACTTAAAATGGATCCTATTTAGCTCTGTTCACCTGTTTCCAGAACTGAAAGCTTCACTTCTAGAGTATCTTGTTTGATGTTTCTTAAAAATACATCCCAGTGTCTTTCTCTGGTGAGAATTTTTATCCTGTTATCTTTGGTCCCAGCATTGTCTTTATTTTCTTGAATACATTAATGTAATTAGTTTATTGTCTTTGTTGTTAACTCTAACACCCACATCACCTGTGGGTTTGCATCTATTGTCTAATGTTTGGGAGAATGTCATATCCTTAGAGACA